GCTACTTAAAAACTAAGCCTTCTCAAATTCTCATTTTTCAACTTTAGTGGTACAGTGTAAAAATCAATTTCTCATTCAACAATAATTATCCATTTTGAGCGTGTGAATAACATATCAAATCAAATCTCTTTACCTATTATGAAAATTTGAATCTACTTTGACCTAACCCAAATCAAAAGTAGACTCCATTCAAATTAATAACTCGAAATGATGATCATTTAAAATGTTAAATTTTATTAATTTTTTCAACAATTTTAAGTGAGCTTTCTCTTTTAAAGAAAGAGTATCCACATATGGAGATCAATATGAAAGTGTTGCAAGCATTGCTCCATGAATGGCATGATAAAGTTCTTCTATGTTTGTTGACCAAGCTTCAAGAAGTCAACACAAAATTAAAGAAGCAATTTGAGACTCGGAAGAAGTTGAAAGAAACACTCATTTGAAAACATTGGTCCAACTAAAGAGATTGACCCTGCATGCTTCATGGCCAAAGACAACGAGGATAAAAAGGTAACTTTGACTCAAAAAGAAGATGTAGAAAATCAAAGTTGCGAGATGACCACGTTATGGTTAGGTATTAAATGTAAGAGCAAATTACATTTTTGGTCCTATGACTATAAAGGGCATCTTAATTTCGGTCTGTGATTTTTAAAATTAATAATTTAGTCATTTGACTATGTTTTTTTAGCAGATTTGGTCCTTCCGGTCAAATCACCGGTGGAAATATTAGGGGGGGCAAAATGGTCTTTCATCCTCATTTCTTCTTCTTCCTTGCTGCGCCTGCAATGAACTGGCATAACCCTTGGTGAGAGCAAGATTCATTATTTTAGCTGGAAGGACCAAATCTGCTAAAAAAAACATAGTCAAATGACTAAATTGTTAGTTTTAAAAGTCACGGACCGAAATTAACATGCCCCTTATAGTCATAGGACCAAAAGTGTAATTTGCTCTTAAATGTAACTATGCCCTTACCAAATATATATATAACTATGCCCTTAACTATGCCCTTACCAAATGTAACTATGCCCTTACCAAATGTAACTATGCCCTTAAGTGTAATTTGGTAAGTAAAATTCATCATTCTTCCCAAACTAGGCATTTGAGACTCAATCCCTAATCATTCTTCCCAAACTTCACCCCTATGACTAGTTGAGCTACCCATGCGGACAAATAAAATTCAATAATCTTAATAGGTATGGTTCACATTTTGGTTCAACAGGTTGATGGAAATGTAAATTATGACAATTTTGTGACTTCTTACTCACGATAACTGAATGAGTCACTAAACATGTTTGTACAAATGTTGGTGTACATAAAGAATTTGCTAACTTAGACCGTGTATGAATGGATTAACATATGGAGACAGAGCATCCATTCACTTCCCCGACATAACTAAGTACAAAAAAGTTCTTGTTTGATTCTGAGCACTTACATTTGTTACTAAAAACAGAATCTAATCAAATATATATTAGGTTAAACATCTCTCTCAAGGTTGGAGAAAATAATGAATTAACATTTGAAAGAGAAAGATGGTCCTAAAGATGGTCCTCTTTAGTCTCTGAGATTACTCATTTCAACTGAAACTTTACTGGGTATTTGGTTTAAATATTGGATTATTGGAATAAGAATATTGATAACTGAAATCACTATGCACTTTGGACCTGATCCATATATAATATAATTTGCCAAGATATTTGTGGAGCATTATGCTGTGCAATCGTGTGCACCATGCATGGTGCACACGGTTACAAAAACGACATCGTCGTTAACGACGTTATGTTGTGCATAATTTGAACTATATAGTTCATTCATTCTGGATATATAGTTCAAATTATGCATAACATAACGCCATTAACAACAATCAAAACTGATTTTTTAAAAAATTAGACGCGTCATTTTTAATCAAAACGATACCGTTTTTGTAACCGTGTGCACCATGTAGCAGGGCATAATTTGCGGATATTTGGTCTCTAAACCTTCAAAGAGATGGATGCTGAATCGTCAACTACTTGGGTTATCTTGATTAAAAATGGGCTGATCCATTATGAAGTTTGATTGCACTATTGCAATGACCCATAATAAGCCCACCATCTCTCAATATTATTTTTCAATTGGGCTTCATTTAAATGGCAGCCTTTAAAAAACCAAAAACAAAAAAAAAAAAAAACCAAAAAAAAAAAAAACAAACAAACAAAAAAAAAAACAAAAAAAACAAAAAACAAAAAAAAAAAAAAAACAAAAACAAAAAACAAAAAAAAAAACAAAAAACAAAAAAAAACAAAAACAAAAACAAAAAAGGGCTGATCAAATATCACTACTCTACAAGTTGTTATACTATGGACCAGGATTCATCTTGCAAGTGGACCCTGGTACTAAATTGTGTATATTTAGTATTGAAATTGTGAACATTTAAAATATAAATTATGATTTTGAGACTCTGTCCCTCCTGGCTCTATTGCTATGTTTATCCATTAATATATGCATTGTTTTGCTTTCAAAAAAAAAAATATAAATTGTGTTTATAAGTTTTGAGAATTTATAAATATAAATATACAATACATAATCATTATAAATTGTAAATTTTTAAAAAGTAAATTGCAAACATATAATATGTAAATTGTGTATTTTTGGATCCAGATTTACCTTAGAAGGTTGATCCGGGCCTACAAAATAATTTGCCACCAACTATGAAGTTTGTTACCCCTTTGCCTTTGTTACCCCTTTGCCATTCTCTATTTTCAATTCAAAGAAATGTCGTACAAGTAAATATTAGGGGTCAGCACGGATTGGATTGGAACAGATTTGGCATGAATTCGTATCCAATTCATTAGGGGTGGAATTAAAAAATTTCATATGTCAGGGGTATGAATCTAATCCAATTCGATCTGTTATTAGCATATTTGACAAATCAGATGCGGATTTCAAGTTTAAAAAATAAAATAAATTATAATACATTATTTCAAGACTTCAGAAATTAAAATCATAATTAAAAAAAAAAAAAACCTAAATATCCAATTTTAAGGTATAAATAATTAATGAGTTAATACCCAAAATCGTCCTCGACTATAGTGGTTTTTTTCAATTTCGTCCTAAACGACTTTGGTGACCTAATATCATCCCAGACTTTTGTGTTTCGCTCAATTTAGTCCTCCATTTGTTATTCCGTCAAATTTGTGTTAAATAAAGGGACAATTCAGTAATGTCAATATTGATCTCTCTTTACCTTCAACTTGTGAAGTGTGAAATTCCTCTTTCTTGTACGAATTACACCCAGATTTACTCCCGAACCTGCAAATCAAATTTTATATTCGCAATTCTAGGAGTAATTCTAGAGTAATTCGTAAAAAAAAAAAATGGATTTCGCAGTTCACATGTCTATGAGTAAAGAGATGCCAATATTAAAATTATTGAATTGTCTATTTATTTAACACCAAATGGATAGAATAACAAATGAAGGACTAAATTGAGCAAAAACACAAAAATCTGGGACTAAATTGAGCGAAACACAAAAATCTGGGACGATATTAGGTCACCAAAGTCGTTTAGGACGAAATTGAGAAAATTCACTATAGTCGAGGACGATTTTGGGTATTAACTCAATAATTAATTTAAAATTCAAACATATTCAAAATTACAAATCTGACTTGAAAATTGAAGCTAAGATGGCAAAAAGTTAAAAATGACAATAAGCAAGAGAGACCTAAAACTCCATAATAAGTATATACATGTTAAAAATTAAAATTAAACTATAATTTTATATTTGGGCTACATCGTCTTAAGACACACAATAGTGATATATATATATATATATATATATATATATATATATATATATATATATATATATATATATATATATATGGAAGGGATCATGTGCATTTGAGAATTCTCGTGCGGTTGTACGGGTGGACGCACGTTAAACATCAATCTGACGCACTTAAAGTACACAACACACGTACATTAAGCACACAAACAAAACACCTCTAGAACACAACCTCACGCATGTTAAGTACAAGTCTCACGACAAAATAACACACGCACCTTAAATTTTAAAAACAACTCACATTTTAAGTACACACTCACGCACATTAAGTACAAAACTCACGCACCTTAAGCATAAAACTCATACACTTTAAAGTTTCAACAACAACTCACATTAAGTACACACTCACGCACATTAAGCACAAAACTCATGCATATTGCGCACAAGACTCACGCATATTAAGTACAAAACTCGCGCACATTAAACATTACACACTCACGCACATTAAGCACAAGACTCACGCACATTAAGTACAAAAATCGCGCACATTAATCACCCACACAACCGCACGAGAGACACTTAAATGCACCTGAACCTGAACATATATATATATATATATATATATATATATATATATATATATATATGGAATTGGATATAATAGATTTTGAGTAGTTACATTCACATTCAATTTGCTACTAGTGGATTTTTATTAAATGGATCTGCATCCTATTCACTTTAAGTAGATTCGGATCAGATAGGAGTGAACTTGATGAATTGGAGCAGATCCTTACTCACCAGTCACCCCTAATAAATATATTTTTTTTTCATTTTTTTCAATTTTTAATTTGTCTTCTAACAAACAAACAAATTGTATTCTTGTATTTGCAGCGATTCCCTCCGGCATATGCGCCAAACATTGACCTAAGACGCATCACAAAAGCTACGGGAATCGAATAATAGAACCTGTATGTCTTGTTCACTTGAATCAGTTCTAGGAACTGCCGTTTCGTGGACTGCAAGCAATTCATTTCATTTCATTAGTGATATACAGCCGCCCATGTAATAATATTCATTTCATTATTTTAATTGGGGAGATCTGATCGAGGCCAATTCATAATATAAAGGGGCTGTAAGTAAGTAAAGTAGCAGTCAGCCAAAGTATATATAACAGTATCTTGCCTGGCCACCATTAAAAGACCAGTGAGATCTTCAACTATTTCAAAAGTTTTTGTAGACATACATGGCATCTGAGCAGTGTGGCATGAACCAAAGATGGTCCCTCAAGGGGATGACAGCTTTGGTGTCTGGCGGAACCAGAGGCATTGGGTTAGTCATAATTCCATCATTATATATATATATATATATATATATATATATATATATATATATATATATATATATATATATATACTAACTGAAAAAGAATCATTATATGCATACATGGTTTTAGGGCTGCCATAGTGGAGGAGCTGGCTGGGTTCGGGGCGGAGGTTCATACCTGTTCTCGGAACCAGAAAGAGCTCGAGCAGAAGGTGCAGGAATGGCAGGCCAAAGGCTTCAAAGTTTCAGGTTCAGTCTGCGACTTGGCCTCTAGAGAACAGAGACAACAGCTCATTCATACTGTAACTTCTGTTTTCAATGGCAAGCTCAACATCCTTGTAAGTCTACAGAATTTAGTCTGTGCATACCCTCAGATAGTAACTGCGTGACTAAATTCTGTCTTGTGAGTTGTGACCTTAACTGGTAAACGGCCACGAGAACGTAAATTAGCCTAGCTAGGTTATATTGTCTATAACTGACCAGCTTAAATAAAGAAGCTAGGTCAATACTCAATAAGTTTTGAATATGTTGGTGATCCAGGTGAACAACGCTGCAATTAGCAAGCTTAGGAAAGCAAAGGATTATGAGGCAGAGGAGTTGTCACGAATAATTCAAACAAATTTGGAGTCACCCTACCACCTGGCACAACTCACATACCCACTCCTCAAAGCCACTGGAAACGCCAGCATCGTCTTTATTTCCTCTCTCGCAGGCCACATTGCACTGCCTGCAATCTCTGTTTATGCATCCTCCAAAGGTAATTTAAGCATCCTCCAAAGATAACATTACTGTAAATCAATGTTGAAAAAATAGCTAGACTCCCTCTAGGCGCCTGGGGTCGCCTAGACAGGCGCCTAGGAGGCCGACCACCTAGCGCCTAAGCACGATTTTTGCAACACTGCTGTAAATAATTTGTTGTGTTGTGATGAATGTTTGCATGCAATGCAGCTGCTATTAATCAGCTTACAAAGAATTTGGCATGCGAATGGGGAAAAGATGGCATCAGAGTCAATACTGTTTCTCCATCCGGTGTACGGACAACAATCATGAAACCTGTAAGAGCATCTCTATCAATTATGCTTAACATATTGTTTTTTATATGACGAGAGAAACTCACAGTCACTATCTAAAAGTGTGTATTGAGTAAATCCTGCCGCCTTGTCGCCCTAGCCAACAACGTAACCTTAACATATTGTTTTGATTCAGGAGGAAATTGATCCATCTATAGCGAAAATGTATGGTGAAATTATGATGAGAACTCCATTGAAGCCAATAGCAGAAGCTAATGAGATATCTCCATTGGTAGCATTCCTTTGTCTTCCTGCAGCTGCTTCACACATCACTGGCCAGGTTATCCTCATTGATGGAGGCTACACAGCTGGTGCCTTCCACTTCTAAATTTCTTTTTAGCACTCATCACACAATCACTTATTTCACTATATGTACTCATCCGGTTCGATGGCACAGTGAAAGATATAATAGTCCTGCTCTTGAATTTTAAAAATAATAATAATAATAATTTCTACAGATGCTTTGGGTTAGATTTTAATTTGGAATATCTATTAAATAGGCTATCGAACTACATACACAATAATATTTCGATCATCTAATTCGGAAAAAAATGTTATTGGAATCCTGAACAATGTAAGGCATATCATACAATTGAACCTAAAATGACCTATTGACCCGGTATTTGATGATGCAATGCTTATTAGGTGGACCATGCATACTATATATTATTTCTATACATATGATACATTATTTTTATACATAATGTTCATTATTTGAATGTTTTGTACAAAATAGTATGAAAACAACTTGAAGTTTTATTATTTATATGCACAAGATTCACTATTTGTGCGCATATGGTCAATTATTTGAGCATATGCAAACTAATTGATTGTTAATTATTTAGGCATGTATATTCTAAACTCATTTTTGCAGGTTCATTATTTGTAGAGTATAATTAGACTTATTCGCCACATCCCACCCCTTTTTACTTAGAAATTTAATATTCAGTAAAGTTATGTTTGTTATTTATATGCATAAGATTCACTATTTATATACATGTACTAAACGAATCGAATCCAACTAACTAGCTATCTAACTAATTAATTAATTAATTAACTTCAATGATAACAATCTAGGTGGTACGAATTGCTCTCATGCCAAATGCTCAAGCATGATCACCTGAAAATAATAAAAAAGTAGAACACAAGAAAAACACATATAATTAACATAACGCTAGGAATGATTTATAATTCATATATTTATCTTCCCGGTTATATTATTTCACCTATACTTGAATTCTCAGTCACATTTATCCCACCCGAAATAATTTACACCATCAATATCTTTTGGCATGATCGGTCAGCGCATCTAACTACCAGTACAAATTTATTTTATAATGAGGACAGATTTGTTAAGAATGAATTTTATATTTTTCTGACAACAACGTATAGCTGAGCAACAACTTTCATTTACTTTTTTTTGGAAGTAATTTAGTTTGCAGTTCTATTTTTAGAAAAAGGTTATATTACCCCAAAAGGCACCTAATGTGTGTAAACATATAAATGTGTGTACGGTTGTGAAAATGATGAGCCATATGCCCAGGGATGGAACCAGAAATTGAATTGAGGGGGCGAAGAAGTAGGACGAATTCAGAAATTTTTTTCAGTAAAAGTGAAACATTAAAACAAAAGAGATAATTTAAAATAAATAAATTACCTAAGAATTTTTTTTTTATAACCATTACTTAAGAAATATAGTTTTAGATATTGTTGAATATGTGCGAAAAATAAAACACATCAAAATTGTGACTGTGTTGAAGCCATAGGAGAAGGACTCAAAAATATGTAAAACTATATAATGAAAGGATTTGAACCCACAACATCTCTCATCTCTCATTAACAAACACAAGCCTTACCAACTAATCTAACTCCTTTGTTAACAATCACTAGTTTTTTTTTTATACTAGTACTAAAACCTATACTATATATACATATATACATACAAAGGTTATATATGGGGTGGGGGTGGGGTGAAGGGGACAACTGCCCCCCCCCCCCCCCCCCCTTTGGCTCCGTCCCTGGCCACGCCTAATGAAGTGGGATGTAGAAGGCAAGAACTGGATATGGACAGACATGAAATCTCAAAAAACTTATCAAAAAAGCTACTTTGAGCAGCTTTTTGATTAGCATTTTAGAATAATAAGTTGTTGCAAAAAACTAATTAATTAAACACTCATATTGATTGTTTAATCAAGTCAAACACCTAATAATAGTCAAATAAGTCAAAATTAACTAATATAGGCTAACTATTTTACCAAATTAAACAGGATTAATTTTTTCTCCAATGAGCAAAAGTCCCTTTTTAAACAAGTAAAACCTTTTGCATTATTATAAATAAATATAATAATATTCCGTACAATCATTAGCTTTATCAACTATGATTATATTAGGGGGTCTTTGGTTCATGGAATCTTGGATTAAGGTAATCGGATTACCTCAGGTAATAGGATTATCTCCAGTAATGTGAGATTTTGGGAATGTAAGATTATTTTATGTGTTTGGTTTGGATGGTGGAATATAATATTACATTGTTTGGTTAAAGATTATAATTTAGGTTATATGAATCAAATTACAATAACGTCCTCAATAATATATATGTGTGTGTATGTATTTTTTTTATTATTTATATGTATGAATGTATATCAATACTTAAATACTAAAAAAATTAAAGAGTTAATACCCAAAATCGTCCTCGACTATAGCGGTTTTTCTCAATTTCGTCCTAAACGACTTTGGTGACATAATATCGTCCCAGACTTTTGTGTTTCGCTCAATTTAGTCCCAGATTTTTGTATTTTTGCTCAATTTAGTCCCTCATTTGTTATTCTGTCCATTTGGTGTTAAATAAATAGACAATTCAGTAATTTTAATATTGGCATCTCTTTACTTATAGACATGTGAACTGCGAAATCCCTTTTTGTTTTACGAATTACTCCAGAATTACTCCTAAAACTGCGAATATAAAATTTGATTTGCAGGTCTGAGAGTAAATATGGGTGTAATTCGTACAAGAAAGAGGAATTTCGCACTTCACAAGTTGAAAGTAAAGAGAGATCAATATTGACATTACTGAATTGTCCCTTAATTTAACACCAATTTGACGGAATAACAAATGGAGGACTAAATTGAGCGAAACACAAAAGTCTGGGACGATATTAGGTCACCAAAGTCGTTTAGGACGAAATTGAGAAAAACCACTATAGTCGAGGACGATTTTGGGTATTAACTCAAAAATTAAATATATAAATATGCACACATGTATATTTGATTGTATAAACATATATTATATAAGGATTAGTTAACAAGGGCAATGTTGGAATAAATCATGATAATCTAAAATTACTTAAGAAAATAGGAGTAATCACGTTACCTTAAAACATTATCGCCACATCAACTTTCAGGTAATATAACCTAGTAATCTTATAACTTGAACCAAACAAGGTAATATAACATTACCAAATTCATATTACCTAGGTAATTTAAGATGTCCTGAAGCAATCGCCCCCTAAAGTGTCATGAATTTCGTTGGATTATATTTAGTGATATACAGCCGTACGTCCTTATTTGTGATATTGAAGATTTCATTATTCAAATTGGGTGATATAATTGATGCCTGCCAATCTTTCACAGTATAAATCAAAGGGGCCGCTGTAAGTATATATCAGCCATAATAGCAGACCATATATCCAGTACGTGCAGTGGGATCAAATTAAAAGTATTTAATTTGCAGGTAAACATGGCAAGTGATGAGCAGTGTGGCATGAAGCAGAGATGGTCCCTCAAGGGGATGACAGCTTTGGTGTCTGGAGGCACCAGAGGCATTGGGTAATTACTCATAATTCCATCATTATATATACTAACTGAAACTAACATACAGAATCCTATCATTATATTTTGAGGAGAAGATCAGACTAAACTAACGACAATAATTGCATATATACATGGTTTTAGGGCTGCCATAGTGGAGGAGCTGGCTGGGTTTGGGGCGGAGGTTCATACCTGTTCTCGGAACCAGAAAGAGCTCGATCACAAGGTGCAGCAATGGCAGGCTAAAGGCTTCAAAGTTTCCGGTTCAGTCTGCGACTTGGCCTCTAGAGAACAGAGAAAACACCTCATTCATACTGTATCTTCCGTCTTCAATGGCAAGCTCAACATCCTTGTAAGTCCTGACTTTTGGTTTAAAAACTCTTAATTGGTCATTATACAGCAACTATCTGAAAATGTGCACAGAATAAACCTATAGTCCTAGTCGAGAAAGCTAAGTTTATATTGCTAGTTAATACCATCGGAAGTCCTCTAAGTATAGTGGTTTTGCCACGTAGTCTTAAACTTTCAAATTGACCATCTGTGGTCCTTCGATTTTCAAATTTAACCATTTGTGATCCAAGATAACCACCCATGGTCCTTCAAGTTTCAAAATTTAACCAGTCGTGGTCCTCTTGAAAGGATTATGGTTGGTTAAAATTTAATAGTTGAATGACCATAAGTGGTTAACTAGGACCACGAATGGTTAAATTTGAAAGTCGAAGGACTCAATTTGAAAGTTTAGGACTAAATGTGGCAAAACCACTATATTCGGATGATGTCATATGGTATTAACTCTTTATATTGCTCATAACTTAGCAGTACATTCAAACTAAGAAAATCAATAGACTATTGTCCAATTAGTTACGGAGTAGTATTGTTTTGAACATTATATATGTTGGTCAGGTGAACAATGCTGCAATTAGTAAGATGGAGAAAGCAACCGACTATGACGCAGAAGAGTTTTCACGAATGATTGAAACAAATGTGGAGTCACCCTACCACCTGACGCAACTCGCATACCCTCTCCTGAAAGCCACCGAAAACGCCAGTGTGGTCTTCATTTCCTCTCTTGCAGGCCACGTTGCATTGCCTGCATTCTCTGTTTATGGATCCTCCAAAGGTTCGTAATTATTTATAAGAGTTAATACCCAAAATTGTCTTCGACTATAGTGGTTTTTCTCAATTTTGTCCTAAATGACTTTGGTGACTTAATGTAGTCCCAGAGTTTTGTGTTTTTACTCAATTATGTCCCAGATTTTTGTGTTTTTGCTCAATTTAGTCCCTCATTTGTTATTCTGTCCATTTGTTGTTAAATAAATAGACAATTCAGTAATTTTAATATTGACATCTCTTTATTCATAGACATGTGAAGTGCGAAATCCCTCTTTTTTTTTTTTACGAATTACTCCCAGAATCACTTCTAAAGCTGCGAATATAAAATTTGATTCGTAGGTCTGAGAGTAACTCTGGGTGTAATTCCTGTAAGAAAGAGAGATTTCTCACTTCGCAGGTTGAAAGTAAAGAGAGGTCAATATTGATATTATTGAATTGTCTCTTTATTTAACACCAATTTGACGAAATAACAAACGGATGACTAAATTGAGCGAAACACAAAAGTCTGGGACTATATTAGGTCACCAAAGTCATTTAGGACGAAATTGAGAAAAATCACTATAGTCGAGGACAATTTTGGATATTAACTCTTATTTATAATAAATTACATAAACTAAGTACTTACAATTATATCACTGTACATATGTTGTATATATATGCAGCTGCTATTAATCAGCTTACGAAGAATTTGGCATGCGAATGGGGAAATGATGGCATCAGAGTCAATGCTGTTTCCCCATCTGGCGTACGGACTGCACCCATAAAACGCGTAAGATTCCTACCTAGTTTTAACCATCATTATTTACTCTAATTAATTACTCAGTAACTAATTATATATTGAGTTTATTGCACTTTTGGTTCCACGACTATAGTGGCCTGACATTATCATGATTGATCCACGACTTTCAAACCTTGCAATCTCAGTTTACAAATATTGTTTTTTTTTTTTTTTTTTTTTTTTTTGCAAAATTGGTCATTCCGACCCATTTTTGTTGGAAATGATTCTTACTCGGGTGAGAATTGAAATTGTCAGAAAATGGGCCGGAAGGAACATTTTTGCAAAAAAATAATAATCATGGACCGAGATTGCAAGATTTGAAAGTTGTAGATCAATCATGATAGTGCCACTATAATTGTGGGACCAAAAGTGCGATAAACTCTTTATTATTAAAGTCTTTCGCGTTTGCACTAAATGCGCACAGTGTATGTAAAACTCATATACTAAATTGAAATATGTGTTTCATCTCAACCAAAACATTAAATTGATTAGAGAAACCATCAACCACTATTTAGAAAGTGGACATTGGATAAATCTCACCTTAGCCAAGGGTCTTAACATATTGTTTTGATTCAGGAGGAAATTGATCCATCAATATTGAAAGTGTATGGTGGAATTATGATGAGAACTGCACTGAAGCCAATAGCAGAAGCTAATGAGATATCTCCATTGGTAGCATTCCTTTGTCTTCCTGCAGCTGCTTCACACATCACTGGCCAAGTTATCCTCATCGATGGAGGCTACACAGCTGGAGGCTTCCACTTCTAATTTTTTTTTTTTTTTTTTTTAATTTTTAGCACTATATGTAATCATCCAGTCCAATGCCACAATTCGGACCATAAAAGATCAGATATAGTCGTGCTCAATAATAATAATAATAATAATAATAATAATAATAATAATAATAATAATAATACCTGGTAGGTACTCAATTATCGGGACCCATTATACGGTTCTTATACTGAAATATGTGATCCATTATTAGTTGCGATATAATAAAAGTTCTCTTATGAGCAAAAGTCCATTTTTATACAAATAAACCTTATGCATGCATTATTATAAATAATAGTACTATACGTCCGTATAGTACAACCATTAGATTTATCAACTAACTGTGATTATATTATATTCAAGTGTCATGAATTTCGTTGGATTATATTTAGTTATATACAGCCGTACGTCCAAGCAATATTGAACATTTCATTATTGTAATTGGGTGATATAATTGATGCCAATTAGATCATAGTATAAATTAATGGGCCTGTAAGTATCAGCCAATAGCCATAATAGCAGACCATCCAGTGCAGTGGGATCAAACGTATAGTATTTAATTTGCAGACATGGCAAGTGAGCAGTGTGGCATGAAGCAGAGATGGCCCCTCTCATGGGGATGACAGCTTTGGTATCTGGCGGTACCAGAGGCATTGGGTTAGTCATATTCTGGCGGTACCAGAGACATGTGTCGCGGAAAGGCTACATCATTTGTTCGAGGATATTCTTAATTGGAAAAACTCGTACCTTCAATTTGTGTGCATTGCGATAGTTAAGTCAAAATTGGTTAAGTACAGAGTTAGATGCGGAATACTCGAAAAAGAATCACCTATGTGAGAGAGAAGTAAGGGTCGCTTCAAATGAGAATTGAATAGGACTCAATTCTTCACAAACTCTAGCAAAACCAGGAACGGTGACCCACGACCAAAATGGGCACAGTCATGAGAACAGAGCACGGTTGGGACGTTCCTGTGTGAGATATGTCATCATCTACAACGGCAGTCGGCTCAAAGACATCGTGTTCTACTGTACAGCCAGTAGATCAGAGTAAACATATCTTCACAAAGGAAGGTTCAAAGGGTGCGGTAACCCCTACCAATCCTATGAGGGATTGACCGTACCGTTGAACACAGTTGTTTCTGATTTCAAAAATACCCTGAAAATCAATTTTTCATTCATGTGGGGATTGTTGGAAACAATAGCATTAAAATGACATTTTAAGTGGTTATTTTGTGGTACAATTATCAGTAGGGTCCACTTCCGATTTGGGTCGGGTCAAAGTGGATTCGGGTTTTCGTAGTGAGACGAAGAGATTGGTATATTGTACGCTCAAAACGGATAATGGGTGAATGAGATATTGATTCTCAAAGTAGATCCATTGAGTTGGAAAAATGAAGGAAAAAAGAATGAGTTTTTGTCTCACATTGGTTTGGGAAATGGATTTGCACCACTATTTATACAAGAGTCTTTTATAGGCTTATTGAATTGTAGAGCATAGATGCTTTCTCTGGCGCGCAGGGGGGGGGGGGGGGGGGTTCAAATCAAATCCCAAATTGAGCCAGAAAATGCTTGATTCAGGCTTGGCTCGTGTATGCCGGCGGAAAACTGGCCCGCGGGCTTATGCCAGATTTCAGTATCTTTTTTCAACGAGATGCTGAGTTCGGCCAAGGCTTCGGCCTCATGCTCATTTCGGCCAAGCCTTGGCCGAACTGAGACAACATCTTTCGGCCTCATGCTCAGTTCGGCCAAGCCTTGGCCGAATTGAGACGGCATGGTTTCGGTCTGGGCTTCGGCCTCATGCTCATTTCGGCCAAGCCTTGGCCGAACTGAGACAACATCTTTCGGCCTCATGCTCAGTTCGGCCAAGCCTTGGCCGAATTGAGACAGCATGGTTTCGGCCTTGGGGCCGAACCATGGCAGTAGGCCAACAGGCCTTGGGGTCGAACCATGGCAGTAGGCCAACAGACTAGTGTGAGATTAAATTCAACAGTTACGGATTTAATTTTTTATTAATTTTAATTTTAAAATTCGAATTTAAGTCTCACATAATGGTCTTGTTGTTTCATATGTTACAAGGCTAGGTTTAATGTCTAGGTCTCACATATTCGTGTGGATATATATAAATATTATTTTGTGATTAAATCGACTTGATTCATATTTCCCTAAAATATGTTGATCAGTTTTAATTTTTCACTTAGTTTAATTTTGATGCAGATTGCTGAATGAAAACAAGTTGTATTGGCTATTTGTCGGATTTGATTAACACTATGCTTACTTGAAATATTCATGTCTCTTAAAGGAAACTACGCACCCGAAGAAAAAAAAAATATGAACTTGAAGAAGGAACAATATGTACTCAATTTGGGAAATAATGCACCAAATACAAAAACATGCAAACTTACTTACAATAAATTACTATAATGCCACTACATTTGTTTTAATTCTTTTTTCATTCTGAACCGTTGATTTGGATTAGATCAATGATTGAAATTTAATCCCAATTTTTACCAAAACAAGTTTTCACATATATGTGTGCGCGTCCGCACGCCTGTGAGATATTGTAGGAATATCTAATAATCCTTCCTCATCACAAAGATGTATGCAAATGTTATAATAACTGTGAAACACAATAGTGAAAATTTTCATATCTAAACCAACAAATTAAAGCTTTGATCATTTATATTGGAATTCTTTTTTCTTTTGGGTATACTCAGAAGTTTCCACCGTCAAACACAATGACTAATTCCCTCTCTTGAATTGTAGGCACCTCTTTTTGGAATTCTTTAGTTCTCCGTTTGCCACTCTTTATTTTTCACTTCAAACAAATAACAAGCTAAGTAAACATATTCTCTTTTTCCCCGTCTTCAATTTTCTATTTCTCCAATGGTATACAAACTCTAATTTTTTCTCTTATGAGCAAAAGTCCATTTTTAAACAAATAAAACCTTATGCATGCATTATTATACGTCCGTATAGTACAACCATTAGATTTATATTATCATCAACTAACTGTGATTATATTCAAGTGTCGTGAATTGCGTTGGATTATATTTAGTTATATACAGCCGTACGTCCATGCAATATTATTGAACATTTCATTATTGTAATTGGGTGATATAATTGATGCCAATTCGATCATAGTATAAATTGGATCGGATCTGATTTTATCTTTTCATGCATACATGGTTTTAGGGCTTTCATAGTGGAGGAGCTGGCTGGGTTCGGGGCGGAGGTTCATACCTGCGTGCTCTCGGAATCAGAAAGAGCTCGACCACAAGGTGCATTAATGGCAAGCTAAAGGCTTCAAAGTTTCCAGTTCAGTCTGCGACTTGCAGGGCCGTATTTTAAGTTTTGGTGGCCCTGTTCTAGTAAATAAATGTGGCCCTACCAAAATCATAATTTTTAAAACTAATACATGCAAGTTTCGAACCTTTGACCTCCAAGTTAAAATACAATAAATACACATTCTTACCATCTCTTCATGAAACCTTTAAAGTTTAATTGAAAACTTTTTAATTTTTATTTTTAAACTAGCTAGGTAAAAATTAAATATTGAACCTCTAAAATTTGGGGCCCCTCTAAAATTGGGGGCCCTGTGCGGTAGCCCAGCTTGCACAGCCTAAAATCCGGCCCTGGCGACTTGGCCTCTAGAGAACAGAGAAAACACCTCATTCATACTGTATCTTCCGTCTTCAATGGCAAGCTCGACATCCTTGTAAGCCTTGGCTTTAGGTTTAATCACTCTTTTTGTTTTTTTATTGACGACGGAGAAAAACCTACAATTACTACTTGAAAGTATATATGTACAATGTAAATTTCACCTTGTGATTCTAGCTGATAAAGGACACAATTTAGCTGTGGTTGTCCCAATTGATTATTATTCTTTTGAAAATTATATTGGCCAGGTGAACAACGCTGCAATTAGTAGGATGGGGAAGTGATATAGTATATAATAGAATGCGGTTATATAAAAACCGCCGTCTATTATGTGTCGTAGTATAACAACATATATTAGAAGGTGGTTATTTAAAAAACCGTCTTCTATTAATTAGTGACGTATACGTATATCATTTCTGTAGTAGTAGGATTATGACGCAGAAGAGTTTTCACGAATGATTGAAACAAATGTGGAGTCACCCTACCACCTGACGCAACACGCATACCCTCTCCTGAAAGCCACTGGAAACGCCAGTGTCGTCTTCATTTCCTCTCTTGCATGCAACGTTGCATTGCCTGCATTCTCTGTTTATGGATGAAGGATCCACAAACAGAGAATGCAGGCAATGCAACATGGCCTGCAAGAGAGAAAATGAAGACGACGCTGGCATTTCCAGTGGCTTTCAGGAGAGGGTATGCGAGTTGTGTCAGGTGGTAGGGTGATGACTCCACATTTGTTTCAATTATTTGTGAAAACTCATATGCCTCATAATTCGTTGATTTTCCCATCTTACTAATTGCAGCGTTGTTCACCTGACCAACACAATATTCAAAAGAATAGTAATCCATAATTAATTGGAGACAACCACAATTAAGTTAGTCAAGTTGTTCAACCAAAGATCAAGTGTTTCATCTTCACAAATAGGGGATGCCTTATTAGCCACTTTAGTAATATACCCTCATCACAAAGTTACTGGGAAGCCATTTATTGTGTAGATTAGAACATCATGACTCGTAAGGTGAAGTTGGTTTGACTATGAGCATCAAACACCGTCACACCTTATTAATTCATTCCACATGCAACATCTTTAAATCTTCATCAATAAGTGGTGTCAAGTACACATCTATGTCTTTCCTGGTTGTTTAGGCCAGATATTAGCAACGACAACATGATGTAATTGCGCTTCATACATAACCAAAGGAGGAAAATTGTAAACTACTGAAAGAACTGGTCAAATGATATGGCGACTGCTCATGTTACCATGAGGATTCATTGCATCCGTGCAAAGTCCAAGCCAAAGATTTCGATTTTCAAAACCAAATTCTGGAAACTTCCTATTAATGTTCCTCTATTGAGGAGAATCGGCGGGATGTCTCAACTTTCCATCTTTTTTATTTCTCAATAGCATGTCATTGCAATTCTTCGCATCCTTTGCATATCCAACGGACACAACAATTTCTTTGCCTCATTATAAGTTGAACAAGGAAGTTCATTATCATCAGAAAGCATGTCCTTTAAAAGTTCTAATGACCCCGTGAAACTCCTATCACTCAACCCATTTTTTGCTTTTAGGGTCCGTTTGGAAAGCAGGAAAATGACTTCTGGAAAATGTTTTCTGGAAAATGAGTCATTTTTGGGAAAACATTTTCCTTCCCAGTGTTTGGTTGCATTATGGAAAACTGTTTTTCTGTGTTTGGTTCATTTTCTGGAAAATGAGTAGAATTGTATAATTAAACATTTTAATTATTTTATTTAGAATATTACAACATGTATAATAATATAATAATATAATATTAATTTTAAATATAATAAAAAATAGCTAAGTTTTTCAAAAAAAAAATAATAATATATCAAAAATATTATGGTGGTGGTGGTGGTGGTGTAGTGGTAGTGGTGTTATTCGTTATATAATAATAATAATAATAATAATAATAATAATAATAATAATAATAATAATAATAATAATAATAATAATAATAATAATAATAATAATAATAATTGGTGGTGGTATGACGGTGGTGGTGTGGTGGCGGTGGTATGGTGGTGGTAGCGACGGTGGTGGTTGCGGTGGTATGGTCGTGGAGGTGGCGGCGGCGGCGGTGTGATGGTGGTGGCGGTGGTTGCGATGGTATGGTGGTGGCAGCGGCAACGGTGGTTGCGGTAGTATGCTGGTGGTGGCGGCGACGGCGGTAGTGGTGTTTGTGTGATGGTGGTGGTAGTATGACGGTGGTGGCAGTGGTCGTGTGGTTGCGGTGGTGGTGGCGGCGACGGTGGTTGCGGTGGTATGGTGGTGGTGGTGGCGGCGGTGGTTGCGGTGGTATGGTGGTGGTGGTGGCGGCGGCGGCGGTGGCGGTGTGATGGCGGTGGTGTGGTGGTGGTGGTATGGTGGTGATGGCGGTGGCGGTGGTATGGTGGTAGTGGTGGCGGCGATGGTGGTTGTGGTGGTATGGTGGTGGTGGCGGTGGTAGCGGCGACAGTGGTTGTAGTGGTATGGTGGTGGTGGTGGTGGTGGCGGCGGCGGTGGTTGCGGTGGTATGGTGGTAGTGGTGGCGGCGACGGTGGTTGCGGTGGTATGGTGGTGGTGGCGGCGGCGGCGGTGGTGTGAAGGTGGTGGTGTGGTGGTGGTGTGGTGGTGGTGGCGGTGGTATGGTGGTGGTGGTGGTGGTGGTAGTGGTTGCGGTGTTGGTGGTGGTTGTGGTGGTGGTGTGATGGTGGCGGGGGTATAGTGGTGGTGGCGGCGACAATAGTGGTGGTGATGGTGGTATGGTGTTGATGATGTTGGTGGTGGTGTGATGTTGGTGTAAAAGTTGGAAAATGACTTCCCCCCAAAAAAAGGGGAAGTCATTTTCTTCCAAAACAAGCCTATTTTCCAAAGTCAACGGAAAATGATTTCCGTTGACTTGATTTTCCAGGCACATCCAAACACTGGAAACTTGGAAAATGATTTCCAGAACTCATTTTCCAGGTTTCCAAACACACCCTTAAGTTATACAATTTAAGCACTAACTTTATAAATTTACTACATCCAAAAAACAAAGGTTTTTCTGAATACTCAAACAAACTTTCAAACTTATGAGGCACTCACATTGCATATCACGCATCAATTCATCTAGTTGGTCATTGTCTCCATCATTTTCAACATTATCCCCATTATATTACTTTGATCTTCCTCTGATCTACATCTAATCCAATATCATAAGTCACTTTCATTTTTAATAATTAAAAAAATTCTCAATCACTATCCAAAAGTGTAAATAAAGTAAATCCCGTCATGTCACCAAAGAACTTAACATATTGTTTTGATTCAGAGGAAATTGATCCATCAATAGCACAAATAATGTATGGTGAAATTTGTAAGATTTTCCTTAATAATATATATTATATATTTTATATTAGGGTCTTAATTAAGTGGTGTAAGTTGACTAGGCTTATTAAGTGGTCTGGTTGGACTTAATAACTAGTAGTTGTTAGTCAATCAAACTTTGTGCCTAATATAAACCTGGATTGATGGGATACAGGTTTAGATAGCACATTCAGTTACCGTACTCAGAATGCTCAGTGGGAACTTGAAGTCCGAAAGAGCTGGGCTTTCACCGACTCGGGGATGGGGCTTTCCTCAGTCTCAGGCAAAGCCGCAACTATTAATTTCCTCTTAAAACCCGAAGTTCAATAAAATTATGATAACTATAAATATGCTAACTAGAAATCAATTTTTTCTTTTTGCACCCACAATGCAATTTCTTGCTTCAATTCGCTAGTAATAAGCGAAGCAAAAAAAACACTTTAAAAGATAAAAGAAAAGTAATTCTCTATCATTATCATTTTTGAGTAATATTTCTTATGTTTATCTCTCTTTTTTTTTTCTATGAACCAATAGCCAATAGCAAAAGCTAATAAGATATCTCCATTGGTAGCATTCCTTTGTCTTCCTACAGCTGCTTCACACATCACTGGTCAGGTAATCCTCATCGATGGAGGCCACACAGCTGGTGCCTTCCACTTCTAAATTTTTTAATGAGTTAATTATCGAAATGGTTTATTGACTATAGCGAAATTATCAATTTGATCGCTGACTATTTTTTTTTTACCAATTAAGTCTCTTAACTTTAAAAATCTTAACTAATTTGGTCCTCCGTTTGTTTTGTCATTAGACATCCGTTAACTTAGGACCAAATTGGTAATTTCGTTATAGTCGATGGACCATTTTAGTAATTAACTTTAGGGTGGGCAATTCAGTACGATTTTTCCAAAATGAATCGTACGGACCGCGTACTGTTCGGTTCGGTAATATACCGAACAACCAAACAGTAATGGATTCCGGCGATGGATTCCGGTCACCGGCGACAATTTCCGACCATCCGATCGTTTTCCACCGGAGACCCCTTGGATTAGATTTTAATTTTAAAAGGCAATTGAATTGCTGAAAAATAAATCTTGGTTATAATAGAAGAATTTTAGTTAGGTGCTTTTTGAGCTATCTTCTACATCTACCTAACGCCCAAATTTAGTTATGTTTTTTTTTTTTTCTTTTTAATGCTTTATGTTGAGGTCTTGAGGACATAGGATCAGAGTTGGAAGGTTTGATTACTACTTTGAAGCTAATTAAACCTTTTTTATATGGGAGTAGATAATGACTTACAGTTATATTTTCCGTTATAAATTAATTGATGATGCAATTGATGACTTCACCTATAAAGATTCAAACAAATTGCTACCAATTCAATGTGTGTGTGTATATAATAAAGAAATTTATATTTACACTCAAGTATATGTAATGCTCAGCTTCCCCCTTTCTATTTTTTTTTTTTTTTTTTAAAAAGTATACATGGATATATATATATATATATATATATATATATATATATATATATATATATATATATATATATATATACACACACCTATTAGGGTTCATCAATGCAATTAAGGATTTAAAAAAAAAATACGGAGTCAATCTTATAATTATTACAAATTTAAAATTTTATAATATTTATAAAACTAATTTCACCATTTTTCTCCTTATTCTTCAACAACCCTCTTTCGTTGAATATTTATAAAAGTATAGATTACTGTTAATCTATATATCTATATATATATAAAAGTAAAATCCTCCTAACAAATTTTCCCCCCAAAACTTTTGTAGTAAAACTTATTTGGTAAGTAAATGTCAAATGGAAAATAAATAAATAAATAATAATAATAATAATAATAATAATAATAATAATGTTATTACCTTAAATAAATAAATTATTATACTTTCCCTTAAATAAATAAATTATTATACTTTCCTTTTGAATTAGTATTTTCTACCTATAAATACAATGGCTTCTTCAATCAAAGAATCCCAGACTCATCCCTCTGCTTTCTTTTTGTATGAATTTTCTACATTTTTCTAACTATATTCTCATGTACTTCAATATGTTTTGCAGTTTATATCATCTGGTATGAGTTTGAAGATACTTAAGGAGGCTCTGCTTCAACAAAAGGAAATTGAGGAGGAAGAGCATTTGTAACAGAACTCTATTGGTTTAGTTTTTATGAAAGATTGTAGAGATGCGATCGAGGATGATAAAGACGGTAATTTTGATAATTTTGTAAGATTTTCTGAAACTTAGAGTTAGTATGTTGACTTCGAGATTTGTACATGTCATTCAAGTTTCTATGATTTTTTTTACCAAGCATAGTTCATTTTACAGCATTTTTATAATTAATATATATATATATATATATATATATATATATATATATATATATATATATATATCACAACTTGAGTAGAGTGTTTGTTTAACCTATTAAAAATCTCGCTATATTTGATTTTTTCTAAATTTTTGTAAAACACAAAAATAATGATTATTTAAAAAGAAGAAATAAATAACGAATACAATTTTAGATTTTGTGTTACTCCA